GTGCTGCTCACGAGCTTCAGCTAATTTAATGTGTTGGCATTACGCCTCCGAATGGTTCAAATTTTTGCACAGGCACGCTTTCAGATCGGATTTCGATTTGAAATGGGATTATGTCCTTGCGGCTGCCATGATTATATGCAATTTCCACATTTGATCTCAAGCAAACTATAACATCTCAATTATGCGAAATTACACTAAAGGTTCTGCAGAGGGGGTTGGACCTTCTTCTGAAATGACAAGGAATTGACAAAATATCGTGGTCTTTTAGTTCATCTGAACAAATTCTTAATCAATTGTGACCATGGTTCCTATAATAGTATACTGGTACTGGGTAATGAACCAGGCCAGGTGTTAGATTTGGAGGTAGGTGAGCTCTTTGATGATAGTGACCACAATTCGGTTACGTTAACTTTAGCGATGGAAAGGGATAGGTATATACCGCAGGGCAAGAGTTACAGCTGGGGGAAAGGCAATTATGAGGTGATTAGGCAAGATTTAGGATGCATAGGATGGAGGAGGAAACTGCAGGGGCTGGGCACAATTGAAATGTGGAGCTTGTTCAAGGAACAGCTACTGCGTGTCCTTGATAAGTATGTACCTGTCAGGCAGGGAGGAAGTGGTCGACTAAAGAAGTTGAATCTCTTGTCAAGAGGAAGAAGGAGGCTTATTTAGAGATGAGGCGTGAAGGCTCAGTTAGGGCGCTTGAGAGTTACAAGTTAGCCAGGAAGGACCTAGAGAGCTAAGAAGAGCCAGGAGGGGACATGAGAAGTCTTTAGCAGGTAGGATCAAGGAAAACCCTAAAGCTTTCTATAGGTATGTCAGGAATAAAAGAATGACTAGAGTAAGATTAGGGCCAGTCAAGGACAGTAGTGAGAAGTTGTGGGTGGAGTCTGAAGAGATAGGAGAGGCGCTACATGAATATTTTTCGTCAGTATTCACACAGGAAAAAGACAATGTTGTCGAGGAGAATACTGAGATACAGGCTATTAGTCTAGACGGGATTGAGGTTCATAAGGAGGAGGTGTTAGCAATTCCAGAAAGTGTGAAAATAGATAAGTCCCCTGGGCCGAATGGGATTTATCCTAGGATTCTCTGGGACGCTAGGGAGGAGATTGCAGAGCCTTTGGCATTGATCTTTATGTCATCATTGTCTACAGGAATAGTGCCAGAAGACTGGAGGATAGCAAATGTTGTCCCCTTGTTCAAGAAGGGGAGTAGAGACAACCCTGGTAATTATAGACCAGTGAGCCTTACTTCGGTTGTGGGTAAAGTGTTGGAAAGGATTAGAAGAGATAGGATTTATAATCATCTAGAAAGGAATAATTTGATTAGGGATAGTCAACACTGTTTTGTGAAGGGTAGGTCATGCCTCACAAACCTTATTGAGTTCTTTGAGAAGGTGACCAAACAGGTGGATGAGGATAAAGCGGTTGATGTGGTGTACATGGATTTCAGTAAAGTGTTTGATAAGGTTCCCCACGGTAGGCTATTGCAGAAAATACGGAGGCATGGGATTGAGGGTGATTTAGCGGTTTGGATCAGAAATTGGCTAACTGTAAGAAGACAGAGGGTGGTGGTTGATGGGAAATGCTCATCCTGGAGTTCAGTTACTAGTGGTGTACCGCAAGGATCTGTTTTGGGGTCACTGCTGTTTGTCATTTTTATAAATGACCTGGATGAGGGCGTAGACAGATGGGTTAGTAAATTTGCGGATGACACTAAAGTCGGTGGAGTTGTGGATAGTGCGGAAGGATGTTGCAGGTTACAGAGGGACATAGACAAGCTGCAGAGCTGGGCTGAGAGGTGGCAAATGGAGTTTAATGTGGAAAAGTGTGAGGTGATTCACTTTGGAAGGAGTAGCAGGAATACAGAGTACTGGGCTAATGGTAAGATTCTTGGTAGTGTGGATGAGCAGAGAGATCTCGGTGTCCATGTGCGTAGATCACTGAAAGTTGCCACCCAGGTTGATAGGGTTGTTAAGAAGGCATACGGTGTGTCAGGTTTTATTGGTAGAGGGATTGAGTTTCGGAGTCATGAGGTCATGTTGCAGCTGTACAAAACTCTGGTGCGGCCGCACTTGGAGTATTGCGTACAGTTCTGGTCGCCGCGTTATAGGAAGGATGTGGAAGCATTGGAAAGGGTGCAGAGGAAATTTACCAGGATGTTGCCTGGTATGGAGGGAAGGTCTTATAAGGAAAGGCTGAGGGACTTGAAGCTGTTTTTGTTAGAGAGAAGAAGGTTAAGAGGTGACTTAATAGAGACATACAAGATGATCAGAGGATTAGATAGGGTGGACAGTGGGAGCCTTTTTCCTCTGATGGTGATGGCTAGCACGAGGGGACATAGCTTTAAATTGAGGGGTGATAGATATAGGACAGATGTCAGAGGTAGGTTCTTTACTCAGAGAGTAGTAAGGGCGTGGAATGCCCTGCCTGCAACAGTAGCAGACTCGCCAACTTTAAGGACATTTAAATGGTCATTGGATAAACATATGGATGATAATGGAATAGTGTAGGTTAGATGGGCTTCAGATTAGTTTCACAGGTCGGCGCAACATCGAAGGCCGAAGGGCCTGTACTGCGCTGTAATGTTCTATGTTCTATACATCTGTTTCACTGAACCATCAAAAATTATTGACCTTATCCTGAATTTTTCGCATGTTTTAGTCATCATATCCTCACTGTATTTATAATTTTATTTAGCGAACGCTCAAGTCTCTTAAATAAAGTGCTTGTATTTTATATTTTCTGCCGTTGCACTTTTCTCTTATAACAGCTGAAAGACATCAACAGACTCAAGTCTCTGGAATAACGTACTGGGTTGTGTTTTCTAGGTATTTATTCCAGGGGACCTTCATAAACAGAAATAGTGTACGCGTCTGTGTGTGTTGGGCGCAACATTGGAAATATTCACTCGCCCCAGGTCACATGCGCAAATAATGTAAAACGCTTTCCTTTTTGAACGTTTTGTGGGTCATTCTGTAAAATACCCGTGAGGGTCAGGGCAAACTTCATGAGCCGAATGGCCTCTTTCCGCATTGAAGGAATCTATTATCCTTGTTCCAACATTTTTGATAACCGATACAGTAACGCATACGAGAATAGCTGTATAGATTGCAAACAATTTTACAGCGTTGATCAAATCAGCAGCTATCAGAACGAAGCAAGAATTACAAATGCATTTGTGCAGTTCTCATTTCACTGTGAAGGTATAGCCTTTGTCTGATGGATTCATCCTTAGCCTTAATGATAACTGCAGTTTGCGAAGTATAGTTTCCAACGGGGAAATAGCTCTAAATTTGTACTTCGTGCGAAAAGTCCAATTTAACGATGTCAAATTACTGTTGGACACACAGTCTATGTTATTCAATTGGATTTGGAGAGAAGCACTAAAATGGCCTGATTTGTAAAATGTAAGGAATCCTTCGGTGTCATCTGAAAATTAATCAAGGTCTATGTTCTTTAAACATATATATACTATGCTGGTATACGTGACAGGAAATGAAATGTACACTTTATTTCAGTCTATGCAGCACGCATATGAATGAGTTTCGATCTAAAGTCAATGATCTGGCTGATCAAACAGGCATCATATGTGCTTGTGTGTGGGACACACCAGTAAAAGATGACAGCGGGCTTTTCAATATTTATGTTTGCATTATTTGACTTTGCTGGAGATGGAGGAAGCGGTAAAGATTAACACAAACATAAGGATAGATCCGCACTTCAAAACCTACAACGGCGGAGATTCTAAGTATATCTATCTGTAAATCAATAATGTTCAAAGTAGGTTGCACCAGGTTCTATTTTTGGTAAATAGGCAGGAATAGAGAATTGTTTAATATATATTTCTGCGCTATTCACATTTTTGGCCTGTCATATTGTCCTTGTTCCGAGTATCAGCACTGAAAGCAATGGATTCTTTTGAATGACTTTTTTGACCTCGATACGGCTCACACTTTTCGGGCTGTGATCTGAAAGAGCTTGTGTGTGTTTGTGCTAATGTCAAGGCGTCTTTGAAAAAGTGTCAGCTCTACATTGTAACATTTAAAGAGCAACTTTCAACTATGCCTATTTTCCAGATTTCTGAATGAATATTTATTTCAATACTTAAACAGCCAAGTGCTATTCTAAATGCCAAAGAACAGCTTGTTTAATAAAGATGAATAGTTAGTGCTTCTGGTCTTTTCTTGGTAAATTGAAAGGGACAGACTGCGTCCCCTGGATTTTCAACCACATTAGAAAACAATGAAACTGCAATGCACCAGACTATTAAACAACCATAGATTTTATGTGAGAAGCAAGTCAGCTGCTGGAGATTAATTTTACATTTTAATGAAGTACAGTTATAACAGGATACAATTTCAGCAACTCAAATGTAATCATTATCATAAAACATATCTGATGGATGAATTTGGAAAGTACAAAGTTTATACATTCAAGAGAAGGTTCAAAAGTAAATGTTTGTCCTCTATTTTGTTTCATTTATTGTCCTGCTCATTAAAATGAGAGGAATATTGGTACCTAGGAATGGTGCCTTTCTGCTTTATTCACCTGCTGAGGCATTAAGCAATAGCAAATCTAGATTTAAACTGGGTTAGGTGTCAATTTCCCTCTATTCTCCCCCTCTTCTACTCAGAGAAGGACCTGCATTGTTCCAGAGTGATTAGTCCATTGCCTCTCTCCAGATGGCTTCCCTGTCAGATATGACCTTTGGGATGAAGGGCGGTCAGTATTGTGCTGTGAATCCATGGTCACCGAGAGCAGAATGATTTCACATCAAAAACCATTACCCAAAGGCAGCAGAAGGGATACTTTACCTTATTGGGCCCAATTGAATTCAAAAGCAGGACTCCAACACTCAGTTTCTCTCCTAGTTTTCTTCTTCCAAAGTAGTGTTCAAATTTTTGAAAAAGTTTTATGGCAGAATTTGCAAATTAGCCATGGCATCATATGAAACATAACTTTTAAAAGTAAGATAAGCTTGCACCTTGATTATTTTTTAAATACAGGCTCATTAAATTGTATAACCAGCTATATTCCAACTGTATATATGACCATTTTGTGTTATATTGTGCTCTGGTTGTTTAGTGTAGATAAAACCCAATTAGCTGCAAAAATGTCACATTTTGAGTTCAGATTTCCTTTGTACAGCACAGGAATGGAATAGTTCCACGAGATCTCGTAATAAGTATAAAATTTATAAATTCAAATACAGTGTCAAGAAAAAGACGCAGTATGCTCTTTAAAACATATTTTCAAACGTTTAATAGCCAAAGACATTGAACATCCATACTATTTATAATGAACACCTTCAGTTTTATTTATGTATAGTTGCTCAGACACGTGTATGTACAAAACAGATGTATAGAGAGTTTCCACATGGCAGCAGGCCACAGGTTTGTTTATTTTCCCCTCATAAGCAAGTCAAAATGCACTCGCCAATAAGTGCAAAGAATCTGCTTTTCAAGCGGTTCTTGAGCAGGGCAGTACAGGCACAGGACAACAATGAACTGGACTCTACTATCCAGACGCACACACAATGAGTGGTTCTAACAGATTGTCAAGAGTAAGCATCTAAAATAGATTTAGCAGACTCCATGAGTAACCTTCAGCATGCCAGCATTTATTAAACTGTACAGACAATGGCAGCAACGCTATTGTAAGAAGATTCGTCTCGCATCAGAGCAGTTTGGGGGCTAATGCATGGGAAAAACTTGAAGTTGCCAAATAGAACAGATTTACCCATTCACCGCTCAATGAAGGCTCGGATGAAAGCAGGGAACAGCTGATCTACGTGGAGTGAATAAAGGGGGAGTGGATTAATTTCTATGCTTCTAAAATTTATAGAACCATTTCCAGTCCACTTTGCAAGGTGGGTCAGTGAAGTGTGGTTGTGGTTGATAGGTAAAATACACCCCTATTTTGGGCCTTGTCATGAACTGCTTCCACACAAAGCGGGGAAAAGGAACAGTAGACGAAATTTACAAAACTATACTGACAAACGTCTTTTTTTAAACTCCAGTCCATATGCATGCTACAATGATAATGGCAAGATCTTCCCATAAAACATTCACTTCATCGCTGGGAGAGAAAGAAAACCAGGAACACAAACCGATCAACTTTCAGAATCACCAGGCCTCGTCACAAAGGGTTTTGTGACCAGAATTCTACATTGTCTCAAACATTTAGGACCAATACATTGAATGTTAAGTCTTTTTGCTTCACTCTCCTCATACATAACAAGCAATTTGCAAGCTGCACCCGTTCCTGTTCTTGCAGCTTTTGCACTATTCACTAAAGCAGCTCGCAGCACTGTAGCAATTCATCATCCATTCCAACATAGATTTTTGCTTAACCTGCTCAGTCAAATCCAGAAGTTGTATTGTATTCAATTATAAAAGATGTAAGAATTGGAATTAATACTTTATCAAACACTATTTACAACATAGGTTGCTAATAATACAGAATTTAAACAATTTTTTTTTTCCTTTTGCCCTCGAAGAAGGTACAAACCAATGTACTAAGCTAACACTAATGTTATAGACTATTACAGGATACATAGTATCCACTGAACAGATTGATCCTTATTTCCCTGCTTAAAAAAGGCAACCAAAAACAAAGAAGCAAGAAAGTGGTTGGTCTTAAATGTCCTCCATTATAGTAGGGGAAACCAGTTCTTGTTATAATTCTCCAGCAGTGTAATAGTAATTATTTAATATAGAATCCATTCTTGACTAAAATGTATTGGCAATAGTCACTGTGGAACAGATTAAACTGCCAGAAATTAATAACATCCAATACTGAACTGTAGTCTACAGCTGCTCAGAACAAAATAATTCAATGGTTACATCATTAATACAGTTGGATTGTAATCCAGTTTATCAGGAGAAAATGCAGTATTTTTACATTCTCGGTTCGTTAGTTTTTCAATTATAGAACATAGTGATAAAATAAACTGCAAAATTATCAGTTATGCCCAATATCCATCCGTATTCACATGAAAATTATCCCTATTACAAATGACATCAGCATTCTAACCTATTATTTTATCCTTTAATATTTGTATTTCTCAAGTAGTTCTGTGGAATAGTAGTGGCCTATTGCTAACTGCACCACCCTTCGGTTCTGTATTGCTTCCCAATTTCTTCAAAGGTTATCCTTTCTACACACATCTCCTACAAAAATACTGAACCCGAACAAGGGCTCATGAAACAGGAAATGTGTCAAAAATACAAACTATTACAGACAATGTTAGCAACTGCATGAGCAGTGTCTCTTCAGACACATGTTGAATTATAACTCCTGAGAGGGATGGGGTTATATCTATTCAGAATATCACCCCTCAAGTCCTGATGCGGTGACTCAATGTTTTGCATGATCATCTTACAGTATTGAGTGAGAAGGTATAAATATTGCATGGAGGAATAAACCCTCTTGGGCTTCTGCTCAATATTCTTATTCTTCAGTGACTGTTATCTGCCACTACTGTTACTCATCCATACTTGGATGACAACAGCTAAACCACCTAGGGGTATTTTGAAAGACAAAATGTACAGGAAAATAAGAATCATTAGTCTCAAAATATAATTTGGCATTTTTGGGGGCTTATCAGTTTGGATTCATCTTCCCTCTCCAATCACTCCCTACTCTCCTCACAGAAAATAAATCTCGTGTCTGGAATAAACTGAATGCTCCCCCTCCTCAACAGTGCAGTTACAGAATCTGTGTTGTTTCCTGATCCAGCCATGCTGTGTCAGAGGTTCCTTGGATTTTTGAGCACTACAATGTTGAAAGTGCCATGATAAGGATCAGTACAGTCGCCAAAAGTAGCGGGGATATCCTGGGTACTTGAGCGTTGTTCTCACCACGCGATGGCTCAGCTTCATGTATGGTGTCATCTATTCAGAGAGAACAAACAGAGGAAGCAATGCTGTTACAGAAAAAAACAACAGAAAGAATGATCCGCAGTACTTTAGTTACAATTATAGGTCAGCCAAGCTCCTCAGGCAAATACTTTTCATTGTCACACTAGCATGGAATGTACAATCTGCACTGCGTTTCAAATTTCTAATTTCTTTTAACTTGGAAAGATTTTCATTAACTAAGCTTAATAGAATACCAATGAAAATCAAAAGCAATGGTAGGTAAGAAGCACTGATGAACTTTTAATATTTTAAATAACACATACATTTCAGCCTACAAAATAATAAGCTGAGATTTTTAATGCCTGGGAGCTGTCCTGTTAATTTCTAGGCAGTTTGTTCAATTTAAATTAAGTAATTTCATGCACCGCATCTACTGTTGGCTTTCTCATTAAAATATTTGGAAAGATTTTACTATTGACTAGAATGAATTTTCCTGACAAAATGAAATGAAGTATGATCATTCAGGGAGATTTTAGATTAAAACAATTTGGAGGCATTTAAAATAAATCAGATCTAGTATTTATGAACATTTTTTCTCATTGCAAAAATCTTTATTCAACCACACAAGAAAACCAACAGAACGTGTCATCAAGTTGCTACTAATACATTCACAATTAACTTTATTTGGTATCCAGATAAAGTGACAACTGAACGGCACAGTGAGTACATCTACAAATTCAGTTTGAATGAAGAAATAAAGGAATAATGCAAGTATTTTCCATTTGATACACAGAATACAAAACTTAAATTGCTGGTTGTTAATTCTTTCAAAAATCAGTTCCCACTGCTGTCTCTGGAACTGGAACCCACAAAGTTAGCCATGTTATCTATTCACTTTTGTCTCTGAGTTATATTATATTTTTATTATAATTTCTTTTACATAGAAGGGGAAGGAGTGTTTCCATTCTCATATTTATAAAAGTAGTAATCGGAAAACTTTAGTACAGAAATTTAGTATTTTTTCCCTTCCCTGGAATCTTTATCAAAGTCCCTGGTCTTTAAGTCTGGGTTAATGTAATTAGTATTTTGCATTTGCCCAACAGTAAATAACACAGAATACTTCCAAGCTGCATAATTTTAAAATATTGGCTTTTCTGGGTAAAATTGTTTCCACATTTGAGTGGAGATCATTTTCTATGTCTTCTGTGTGCTAGCAAAACTATAAAAATGATTGTTCAATTTATTTCCAGAAATAGCAAACAAAAAGTGTTTTCACCCACCACTTATGATGTTAGTAACAAAAGCTAGGAAGAGAAATCCACTGACACCTTATCAAGGCTGTTTTTTCAAAACATTGACCAGCTGACGACAATTCAATAGTTCAAATTTTGGTGTGCATGACGTTGAATTTGTGAATCTATTCCTGTCATTTCCAATTTTTACAGGAAATGCTATACATTTGCTATTATAAGGAACACATTTTCACTCTGAGCTTTGTGTAACCTTGATACTCTTTTTGCTTTTGACCAAAATGTGACAGAATTTCTCTACTGCGGAACTGTGCAGTCAAAACTCTCTCTTACTTGACATCTAATCTGTTCATATCCCATTTTCTCAAGGTCCACCATTTTTTTCTACCCCAGCAAATTACTTTCAAAATGATCTTCAAAATCTTCCATAAACTAACTTCAGTCTATGTGGGAAATGTTCCTTCGTGTCTACTTTCAGTTACCCTTATTGTTCCTCTCAATTGTTTGTTCCTCCTTCTCTGATTCACTAGCTGAGGTTCATTTTTCATCCATGTTGCCCTTGCTCCCTGGAACATTCTTCTAAAACCATTTTGTCTTACTACTTTACTTTCTGCTTTCAAAATCTGTCATAAAACCTGCCCAAGCCTTTGATGTCCTCTCCCTAAATTCCCTCACTCATGGTGAACACCCACCTGTGCTCAAGCAAATACATTAGGATATTCAATTGCACTGTACATGCTCAAACGGCTGCAGTGGTAGTAATAGTCACAAGGACTACCTATTCAAATAAGACCAATTGTTGGGGTTAGAAATATTTACTAAGCAATCCCCAATAAATGGATTGATTTTATCCATAATATCAATGTGAACTTGAGCACTAAATCTGTCACTGATGTGAAATCTCAGTGCAAATTTCTACTTGCTTCTTGTAGCATTGAATCAAATTTATTTACTGCCTGCTTTTAATTTAAGTGGAGTTTCCAGCATCTGTAGACTTTAGAGGAATATTGTGCCATTTGGTGCTCCGGTTATTTCCCTGAGAAATGCAGATTCTTCTGCAGTTCGATTTTCTACTGTACAGGGCCCTGTCTTCGTGGAGGTAGACCATGTTACTAGGGCAAAAGCCCATTGTGGAAAGGTGCATGGATCAAAGATAAGGTTACAACTTTGATGTCCCTGTGGTCCCTGCAGAGTACAGCATTACAGAATTGTTACTTTTAATTATTTTGTCTGGATGCCCTCTATTGTGAATGGCGTTAAGTTTCAAGTAACAAACAATCGGTGCAAAAATCTAAACCAAAGAAAAATGAAATAAAGAAAACTTAAAATGTCTAAGTTTGTCCAGTGTAAAGACCATAAAGATTTCAGCACCATTGTGCTGACTTGGCCAGTCTCAGAGGATGAATGCAGAAACAGCACTAATTGGTTATCACATTGGCGTGAAGGAAAATGAGTAGAAAGGAAAGGACGACAATATTAGCCAAGTTTACTGTCCTGATCATAATTCAACTATTGTGACTAATTTATGGATGCTAGAATTCTGAGTGAGAACAAGTTAGATTTGGCTGTCACATTTTCCAGATTTGGACAGTCAACCAGCACTCAATGTTGAGATCACACACAAGTACCTATTACCATGTCAAGGTATTAAAGTGCACCTCTACAACACAGTGAGAGAATAAACACTATTGAAAATGACAGGAACTGTGGGAAGTAGAAATTGCAATGAGAGGCACACAGCGGCAGCCCCTTCACTGATTTTCTCAGAAAAAAAGACCAATTGATGTTGCTGCAAAATCAAATTTCATGGTTTCCAATTAGCATTGCTTTGATTGTGCAGTCAGGAAAGAATGCTCTGTTCTTTTGGGATGTATTGTGTTGGTATCCCTGGAATTCAATGTGCACAAACAGCCAATTAGTACAGATCTCAAACTTTTTAAAGTAACTGTTCTTAGGATCAAAACTCACAAAAGATATGAGACAGCCATAGGTAGCGATAGATAAATGTTAGCCTCTGCTCAATTGGTAGTCCGCTTGTCTCTGACATGTTTGGTTGTTGGCTAAAGCTGCAGTAGAAACTTGATCATATATACTAGCCATCGTATCAGTGTGGTATTGAGTGATTGCTGGATAGTAGAAGACACTGTCTTTCAGAGTAGATGTTAAATTGAGGGCCCATCTGGTTAGGTAGGCATTAAAGAAAATAGGACATGATTCTAAGAAAATCAGACGAGTGCTCCTAGATTCTAGGTTAGTATCCTCCCTGAAACAGATAATCTGGTCATTTATATCATTGCTGTTTGTGAGACCTTGCTGTGCACAAATTTGAGAATCAATTTTCTCCATTAGAACAGGGAGCACATTACAAAAAATACTATTTGACTGTAAATCACTTTGCAATCATGAACTACACCACAACAATACAATCTCTTTCTTGAAAGCACAATCATGTGAATGAGTGCAGAATACACTCCCATCGATCTGAACTGAATCGAAACCCAGAATCTAAGGGTGAAAGGTGAATATTCTAATTCACTGTGCCACTCAGACCTTCACAGTAATGAAATGAACTGCAATATTGAGTTGCATCAATTTTCACATTAGGCTTGCTAAAATATTGGCAGCAGCAGTGAGTTACTAACATGACTAAAAATATTCAGAGACACAAATGGTGTGGCATAGTTTAATGAAAAGGACAACATTAAAATACAAAGAAACACATAAATATGCTGTCGACATGTCTGGTATTTCTGTTCAAGGCAGTGGTGCAGGCAGACAACAGCCTGGGTTCTACCAAACTGAGGGAGCCATTTGTCACGAAGTGACTATTTTCAGATGTCATGGACAAATTTCTTACAGTACATGAGAACTGCAACACCTTTCAATTTTGGAACAACCCCTTCCCTCCCATTTATCAATTACATAATTAGTTAATTGCATGCTTCTATTTTTGTAAATCGTTAGGCAGTTTTATTGTAGCACTAAAAAAATTGGTTAATTTAACTCATTTCTTATTAAAGCAATCTTTTTGCAAAGCAATTGCAACAAAGCAGTTATAAAGACAACGGGAACATTATA